TCCCGTCAATGTGATTATTGTGGCCGACCAGGACATCTCAGGGCTACTTGCTGGAAGCTCCATCCAGAGCTTAAGCCACCTTCTCGCAGCCGTACTGTTGCTATTGCTGAGGTACCACCGCCCACTACCGCCACTCCTGCTACTGCTCCTCCTTGGCAAAGTGATATGGATGCTATCACTTCCCGATTAGATATACTTATGTCTGCTCTGACTTCTCAGAGTCTGACTACTGCTGCTGTCACCACTACAGGTATATCTCGTGCCTTTCACGCTTGTGCCAGTTCATCTCCCCTTTGGATGTTGGACTCGGGTGCGAATGGTCACATGACAGGTGAGGCCCATCACTTCACCACTTTTGACGAGCCGTTACATACACAGGTTCAGTTAGCAGATGGAACACATGCCCCTATTGTTAGTAGGGGTACAGTCCGTCTCCCAGATGGCCTTACATTACATTCGGTTTTTCATGCGCCAAAGTTGGCCATGAATCTATTATCTGTACATCAGTTAGCCAGAGATTTTCACTGTGCGGTTGTATTCTTATCTGATTCGTGTTATTTGCAGGACCTGAGTACCAGGAGGATTATTATCAAGGGACATGAGAAAGATGGACTGTATTATCTTGGCAATCCATCTCCAGTTTCACCAATTCCTTCACCTGCACCTGCTTTGTCTTTTTCTGTTCCTAGCTTGCATGCTAGTATTTTACCTAGTAGTTGTCGTTATGATTTTTCGTCACAAACTGTTCAATTGTGGCATGACCGTTTTGGACATACAAATTTTAAATATTTATGTATGTTGTTTCCTGCTTTGAGTAATGCTTGTGTTGGTGGTAAACTTGATTGCGTTATCTGTTCCCTATCAAAACATGTTAGGGCCAATTATATTCCTCGCATGCACCAGTCACCCAAGCCATTTGACCTAATACACTCTGATATTTGGGGACCCTCTCCCGTTACTGCTCTGTCAGGTGCCAGATATTATGTGACATTTATAGATGATCATACCCGTTGTACTTGGGTCTACCTTTTGCATAGGAAGTCTGATGTGCTCCCTATAATCACTCAGTTTTTACAGATGATTAAGACACAATTCGATGTCATTGTTCGTGCTCTTCGTTCGGATAATGCCAAAGAATATGTGTCTGATGCTTTAGTGTCTCACCTTTCTTCTCAGGGTATCCTTCAGCAACTCACTTGTCCATATACTCCTGAGCAAAATGGTGTTGCTGAGAGGAAAAATAGGAGTTTGATAGGGATGGTACGTTGTCTGCTTAGAGGCATGAGGGTACCAAAATCTTATTGGCATTTTGCTGTTTTGACTTCTACCTTTCTGTGCAATCGTACGCCGAGTCGTGTTCTTCAGCATAAGGCTCCCTTACAGGTCTTATTTCCTGAGCGGACACTTTTTCCGGTCCCCCCTCGTGTTTTTGGATGCACATGTTTTGTTCAGGATCGGTCTCCTACTCGTCATAAACTTGATGATAAAGCGATTCGTTGTATCTTTGTGGGCTATTGTCATCAATCTAAGGGGTATCGATGTTATGATCCTATTAGGCGTCGTATGTATCACAGTCTAGATGTTACCTTTCTTGAGCATATTCCTTATTTTCCTTTCAGTCCTTTGTCTGCCCCTCCAGTTGATGATACTCCCTTTGATTTTCCATTACCACAAGAGTCAGAGTCATTGATCACTATCCCTACAGGGTCATCCGTTTTTCCTCCAAAGGAGTCACTCATCCCTGTCTGTACAGAGTTACCAGTCTCTCTTCCTTTGCAGGTGTATGTTCGTTGTCCTCGTTCTCATCACCCTGCTGATATTCCCTCTACCTCAGGCGATGCAGGTAATACTTCTTAGTTTGTTGAGCATATTGATGCACCTGTTGTTAGTACTGATGAGATTACAGGTGCTGAGCCAGTTACTTTACCTGATAAGATATTATCAGTAGAGGATGGTGATTTAGGGCGTCGTTATCCAAGGCGTGATCGCCGTCCAGTTGATCGATATGGTTNAATAGAGGATGGTGATTTAGGGCATCGTTATCCAAGGCGTGATCGCCGTCCAGTTGATTGATATGGTTGGACCGCCAAGATTTTATATCCGATCTCTGCTTATGTTTCTTATGGTAATCTGTCTCCCACATTTCGAGCTTATACTATGGCCTTATCAGATACGCTGGTTCCTCGCTCTATTTCGGANAAGATTTTATATCCGATCTCTGCTTATGTTTCTTATGGTAATCTGTCTCCCACATTTCGAGCTTATACTATGGCCTTATCAGATACGTCAGTTCCTCGCTCTATTTCGGAAGCTATGCGAGAGCCTCAGTGGGTTCTTGCCATACAGACAGAGATAGACGCTCTTCAGCGTAATCATACATGGGATCTTGTCTCCTTACCTTCAGGGGTGAAGCCTGTTGGCTGTCGCTGGGTTTACACCCTGAAGTTTCTTGTGGATGGTACTATTGATCGTTACAAGGATAGACTTGTGGCGAAGGGCTTTACTCAGGTACCAGGTCGTGATTTTGGTGCTACATTTGCCCCCGTGGCAAAATTGACTACTGTTCGGTTAATTATTTCTCTGGCTGCGGAGTACTCTTGGCCTCTTCATCAATTAGATGTGAAGAATGCGTTTCTTCACGGTGATCTGGACGAGATTATTTATATGGATGCACCACCGGGCTTTCGTGGTGAGGGGGAGTATGCTGGAAAGGTATGTCGACTGCATAAGTCTCTTTATAGACTGAAACAGTCACCACGAGTCTGGTTCTCTCGCTTCAGTGATGTAGTCGTACGATTAGGGTTCACCAGGTGTCATTCTGATCATACCTGTTTTATTCGACGAAATACTTCTGGACAGTTTGTCATCCTTCTGGTATATGTTGATGATATTATTATAACTGGTGATGATGTTTCTGGGACTGTGCAGGTCAAGATAGACCTTAGGAAGGCCTTCGATGTGAGGGACCTTGGATTTCTGCGATACTTTCTTGGGATTGAGGTTGCCCGTAGAAGCAGAGGTATAGTTCTTTCTCAAAGAAAGTATGTTTTAGATCTTCTTTCAGACACTGGGATGTTGGGGTGCAAACCGGCATCATCACCTATGATTCCAAACCTGAAGCTTACTGCTGAAGGTGAGGAGTTGAAAGATCCGACAGTTTATCAAAGATTGGTAGGTAGACTTATCTACTTAGCCAATACTAGGCCGGACATTTCATTCGCAGTCAGCCGAGTTAGTCAGTTCATGCATAGGCCATGTCAGCCTCATCTTGATGCAGTTTATCATATTCTTCGGTACCTCAAGTCTTGTCCTGGACTTGGGTTGTTTTATGCATCAGGATCTCAGACCGGTTCTCTAGCCTGTTATTCAGATTCAGATTATGGGGGAGCATGTGATGGTCGATCTACTACGGGTTTCTGTGCTTTTCGAGGGACTCATCTTATCTCTTGGAAGAGCAAGAAGCAGGCAGTTGTCTCCTACTCGTCCGCAGAGGCAGAGTATCGGGCATTGGCACTTGGCACGTGTGAGATTATCTNTTTTAAAAAATTTTAAAAATAATTTTTTTAAAAAATTAAAAATTAAAAGATTAAAAATTAAAAAATTAAAAAAAATATTGTTTTCATCTTAACTAAGGGTAAAAAGTTTCAACTCAACATGATGACACGTGTAAAACCCGGATAAATTTGAACTTTTTCCGATAAAGGGTAAAATAGTAATTTGTCACTATTACGCGGGTTTAAAATACATTTTTTTATAGAGCTCGGATGGGACAACGGACCTCATCATTGTATTCGCATCACGAAATCGAGCTGCCCTGTNAAAACGAAGCATATAGAGATCGATGTTCACTTTCTTCAAGAGAAGGTCAGTAGTGGTCTTGTTACTCCATCGTTTGTGGGGACCAGTGATCAAGTTGCNTGCCCTGTCAATTTTCGTCGAATTTCAAGATAGTCGGATTTTGCACGTATTTCGAGATGATTTAGGTGACGAATGAACTTTTAAATGTCCCCAAAAATGAAAATTTTAAAATTTCTTTATAATTGGATTAAAGTTCCAATAAAATTAATTTGGACTTAAACTGGATTAAAATGAATCATTTCGGGGCGAAAAACAGACCCAGAAGTAATAAACAAGCGAGACGATATGGACCGCGGAATTAAAAGTATAAAAGGGGCATAATATCTGAAAAAATCAGATATTTCTTCCCCAAGAGGCAGGCGTGAGAAGAGAGAAAAAGAGAAAGTGGGTTTTTCAAGTTTTCTTCTGACAATTTCTCAAGATTCGTTGGTCGGAATCCATCAGACCAAGAACTAAAGTCGATCTACGTGACGNAGTGTTACAATAACCTAGCCCCTCATTGAGGTCAAGCTTCTTTGCTGTGGGGGGGAAATGGGTAGAAGTTTGTCTAAGTGTCATCGAGGCTCTAGCCCTTCATCAAGGCAGAGCCTCTTTGTTGGGAGAAAAGTGGGTAGAAGTTTTTCTAAGTGTTATGAGTCCGTGGCCACTCATCTAGACCGAGCCCCTTTTGCTAAGGGAAAAGTGACCCAGAAACGTTACAAAGTCTTAAAAAATCCTGGCCTAGGCGCCTGGCAGCTTGCAAAAATATATAATCAGGGAGGCAATATGAAATACAAAATACCACTCCATACAGTTGACAAAATTAGAACATAATTTATTTTAAAACATAAAAATTAAGAGGTTGTAGGAGCATCGGTAGCAGGGTCGACAGATTCAGTTTTAACATAAGGAACAACCAATTCGGCAGAATCAGTTGGAGTAGCAGAGGTAGTTGGCTATGGAGGGCTGGAAGTAGGGAAAGTCAGTTTTTTCCCAGTTAACATTCCATAGTTTTTTGAAAACAATCATCTCTATTACTGGGATCTATTTTTCGGTGGGCCTCTCAACAGCTTCAAATCCCTCATCATAAGCCTTATCCTCCGCTATCTTCATCGTAGACTGAAGAGCCTAAAATTCCACTTGCAAGAGGAATGAAGCTCTTTTCAACGAGAAGCTTCATCCAAGGCTTTCTTCTCAAACTTGACAACCTCCTTTAGTCTTCCGTTAAGCTCTTCATTTTGATCAGTAAGTTTCGCAACATTGGATTTAAGTCGGTCAATCTCCTTAGTCGCCTTCACAGCATCAACCTCCAAAATGCTGTATTTTTCCAACTCCTGGGAACTTGAAAGGAGCATCTTCTTCTCCTCTTTGCCCTGTTCACAGTCCTCGAGCTAAGGCTGATTTTCAGTACAGAGGAAACATAAAAAATACAAATAAAAAAGAAATATATAATAAAACATCAAATAAAAAAAAAATGATGACGATGAAAAGCTTACCACAACCAATAATTGAAGGGCATTCCGAGCAAGTAAGTCATCAACCAAATCCTCTGAAATTCGAAGGTCGGAAGGAAGGATCACCACCTTAGCAAGACCAACTGCAACGCCAATATCATCAATTGCAGAGTCGTTTGCGTGAATTTCATGACCATAGGCTCGAAGACGAGGTCTCCAAGAAAGGATTCCCTCAGGCTCGTCGATCAATGGGTCAGTTTGAGCTCTTCTATTTTTTAACTGCTACCTACGCACCAATGACATCAGCCGCTATTTCGACTTAGAATTTTCTTCTGGTGAATGCTAATGCATTCAATATTTGTGTTTAGGATCAAAAAACACTATGATGTTCTGTAAACTTTCGTTGCAAAGTAGAGAGAATGAAGAAAAAGAGAGAACTTCTATGACTGCTACATTAATATGTTTACAGCATAAAAGAGTGACGGTACAAAATTAAAAGTCTCAAAATAAGAGAGAAACAACTGAAGTACTTCTAATATTGGTATGTGTCAAACTTAAGTGGTACTTAGAATTTGTGGTTGGCAATTTGGTACCTTATAATCGATAAATAATTAAAAGTTGCACAGTTTGTCACATATTTGTACATGGAATTTAATTTTTAAAATTATTTTTATATTAAATTTTATGTATATATGTATATAATATTGCATTCTTAAGACGGTTTTCACTCTAATATTTTTTTTTTTTAACTTTGTTGTTTTGCTCTCACTCTATGTGATATAAGTTAGAATAACAAATTTTGAGAACATACAAATTTTTTATAATTCTATTATAGAGTATAATCGATAAAAAAATAAGTTTGACAAACTTGAGATAATATTTAATTCAAGTACACATGTATATACTATTTTTTTATTAATTTTTATGTACAAAAAATTATACATTGCTAATACCCCTAAATGTTTTATAAACTTTTCAATGTATGAAAATTCTAAAAAATTTAATATTCTAAATAAAATCTTACATAAATCTAAAACTGTATTACATTGTATTGAGGGCAAGTGCTTCCGATTGCTCTTACCGTAGATATGTCCCTTTCCATTACTTATTTTTTAGATTTCTGAATTATTGCAGTTGAAAAGAAAGGTTTAAGTTCCTGTCAATGACATCCTATGTCGTTTATGCAACCTTTCACACCCTCCCTCATATTTGCTCGTGTGACCACTCATCATTTTGAGTTTTTTTTATTTTGAAACCATTTTTTATTTTGAATTCTTATTATATATACAACCAATCATCTTAAAAGATATAAGCGTACACATGAAAATGATATCCTGCGCAATTAGAATAGTCATCCATGATACAAGTTATTGTGCAAGGTGATCCTATCTTATACACAATTCACATTATCGTCGTGGGGCCTATTTGTTTCGTGGGTTTGTGGGAGGTTTTCGGGGAAAATAGTGTAAAAGACTCCCAAATTTCATGTTTGGGTTAAAATTTCAATCTCAAGTTATCAAACTCAACTTACAGCTAGTACAGATATTAAATTCATGATCATAAGTTTCGTCAAACTTAAATGGAGTTTGAGAAGATAGATTAATGCTCCGTTCGGTACGATAAAAAAGTGAGAGTATAGAAAGTTTGAAAGATAAATAAAACATCATGTTTAGTAAGGAAGGAAAATAGGAAGAATGAAAAAGTTGATGAATTAACTTTCCCTCAAACTCACCAAAATCAAGTCCACCAAAATCGAAAGAAAAGTGGATAAAAAATTAATTATTTGTGTTGAAATGTATCTTATTTGTTTATATATCTTATGTATACATTAATTTCATATAAAAATATATATATATATATTTTAAAAAATTTTAAAAATAATTTTTTTAAAAAATTAAAAATTAAAAGATTAAAAATTAAAAAATTAAAAAAAATATTGTTTTCATCTTAACTAAGGGTAAAAAGTTTCAACTCAACATGATGACACGTGTAAAACCCGGATAAATTTGAACTTTTTCCGATAAAGGGTAAAATGGTAATTTGTCACTATTACGCGGGTTTAAAATACATTTTTTTATAGAGCTTGGATGGGACAACGGACCTCATCATTGTATTCGCATCACGAAATCGAGCTGCCCTGTCAATTTTCGTCGAATTTCAAGATAGTCGGATTTTGCACGTATTTCGAGATGATTTGGGTGACGAATGAACTTTTAAATGTCCCCAAAAACAAAAATTTTAAAATTTCTTTATAATTGGATTAAAGTTCCAATAAAATTAATTTGGACTTAAACTGGATTAAAATTAATCATTTCGGGGCGAAAAACAGACCCAGAAGTAATAAACAAGCGAGACGATATGGACCGCGGAATTAAAAGTATAAAAGGGGCATAATATCTGAAAAAATCAGATATTTCTTCCCCAAGAGGCAGGCGTGAGAAGAGAGAAAAAGAGAAAGTGGGTTTTTCAAGTTTTCCTCTGACAATTTCTCAAGATTCGTTGGTCGGAATCCATCAGACCAATAACTAAAGTCGATCTACGTGACGAGAGCTACGCGTGGGTACCAAAAACGAAGACTTTCACCAAAGATTCAAAGACAAAGTCTTGGAGGATCAAAGCTTTGGGGCTTATTTTGGTGGCATAGAAGTCTCTACACTTCTATTAAGGTAGGGGGTTCTCTNGCCTCTTTGTTGGGAGAAAAGTGGGTAGAAGTTTTTCTAAGTGTTATGAGTCCGTGGCCACTCATCTAGACCGAGCCCCTTTTGCTAAGGGAAAAGTGACCCAGAAACGTTACAAAGTCTTAAAAAATCCTGGCCTAGGCGCCAGGCAGCTTGCAAAACTATATAATCAGGGAGGCAATATGAAATACAAAATACCACTCCATACAGTTGACAAAATTAGAACATAATTTATTTTAAAACATAAAAATTAAGAGGTTGTAGGAGCATCGGTAGCAGGGTCGACAGATTCAGTTTTAACAGAAGGAACAACCAATTCGGCAGAATCAGCTGGAGTAGCAGAGGTAGTTGGCTATGGAGGGCTGGAAGTAGGGAAAGTCAGTTTTTTCCCAGTTAACATTCCATACTTTTTTGAAAACAATCATCTCTATTACTGGGATCTATTTTTCGGTGGGCCTCTCAANATAAGGAACAACCAATTCGGCAGAATCAGTTGGAGTAGCAGAGGTAGTTGGCTATGGAGGGCTGGAAGTAGGGAAAGTCAGTTTTTTCCCAGTTAACATTCCATAGTTTTTTGAAAACAATCATCTCTATTACTGGGATCTATTTTTCGGTGGGCCTCTCAACAGCTTCAAATCCCTCATCATAAGCCTTATCCTCCGCTATCTTCATCGTAGACTGAAGAGCCTAAAATTCCACTTGCAAGAGGAATGAAGCTCTTTTCAACGAGAAGCTTCATCCAAGGCTTTCTTCTCAAACTTGACAACCTCCTTTAGTCTTCCGTTAAGCTCTTCATTTTGATCAGTAAGTTTCGCAACATTGGATTTAAGTCGGTCAATCTCCTTAGTCGCCTTCACAGCATCAACCTCCAAAATGCTGTATTTTTCCAACTCCTGGGAACTTGAAAGGAGCATCTTCTTCTCCTCTTTGCCCTGTTCACAGTCCTCGAGCTAAGGCTGATTTTCAGTACAGAGGAAACATAAAAAATACAAATAAAAAAGAAATATATAATAAAACATCAAATAAAAAAAAAATGATGACGATGAAAAGCTTACCACAACCAATAATTGAAGGGCATTCCGAGCAAGTAAGTCATCAACCAAATCCTCTGAAATTCGAAGGTCGGAAGGAAGGATCACCACCTTAGCAAGACCAACTGCAACGCCAATATCATCAATTGCAGAGTCGTTTGCGTGAATTTCATGACCATAGGCTCGAAGACGAGGTCTCCAAGAAAGGATTCCCTCAGGCTCGTCGATCAATGGGTCAGTTTGAGCTCTTCTATTTTTTAACTGCTACCTACGCACCAATGACATCAGCCGCTATTTCGACTTAGAATTTTCTTCTGGTGAATGCTAATGCATTCAATATTTGTGTTTAGGATCAAAAAACACTATGATGTTCTGTAAACTTTCGTTGCAAAGTAGAGAGAATGAAGAAAAAGAGAGAACTTCTATGACTGCTACATTAATATGTTTACAGCATAAAAGAGTGACGGTACAAAATTAAAAGTCTCAAAATAAGAGAAAAACAACTGAAGTACTTCTAATATTGGTATGTGTCAAACTTAAGTGGTACTTAGAATTTGTGGTTGGCAATTTGGTACCTTATAATCGATAAATAATTAAAAGTTGCACAGTTTGTCACATATTTGTACATGGAATTTAATTTTTAAAATTATTTTTATATTAAATTTTATGTATATATGTATATAATATTGCATTCTTAAGACGTTTTTCACTCTAATATTTTTTTTTTTTTAACTTTGTTGTTTTGCTCTCACTCTATGTGATATAAGTTAGAATAACAAATTTTGAGAACATACAAATTTTTTATAATTCTATTATAGAGTATAATCGATAAAAAAATAAGTTTGACAAACTTGAGATAATATTTAATTCAAGTACACATGTATATACTATTTTTTTATTAATTTTTATGTACAAAAAATTATACATTGCTAATACCCCTAAATGTTTTATAAACTTTTCAATGTATGAAAATTCTAAAAAATTTAATATTCTAAATAAAATCTTACATAAATCTAAAACTGTATTACATTGTATTGAGGGCAAGTGCTTCCGATTGCTCTTACCGTAGATATGTCCCTTTCCATTACTTATTTTTTAGATTTCTGAATTATTGCAGTTGAAAAGAAAGGTTTAAGTTCCTGTCAATGACATCCTATGTCGTTTATGCAACCTTTCACACCCTCCCTCATATTTGCTCGTGTGACCACTCATCATTTTGAGTTTTTTTTATTTTGAAACCATTTTTTATTTTGAATTCTTATTATATATACAACCAATCATCTTAAAAGATATAAGCGTACACATGAAAATGATATCCTGCGCAATTAGAATAGTCATCCATGATACAAGTTATTGTGCAAGGTGATCCTATCTTATACACAATTCACATTATCGTCGTGGGGCCTATTTGTTTCGTGGGTTTGTGGGAGGTTTTCGGGGAAAATAGTGTAAAAGACTCCCAAATTTCATGTTTGGGTTAAAATTTCAATCTCAAGTTATCAAACTCAACTTACAGCTAGTACAGATATTAAATTCATGATCATAAGTTTCGTCAAACTTAAATGGAGTTTGAGAAGATAGATTAATGCTCCGTTCGGTACGATAAAAAAGTGAGAGTATAGAAAGTTTGAAAGATAAATAAAACATCATGTTTAGTAAGGAAGGAAAATAGGAAGGATGAAAAAGTGGATGAATTAACTTTCCCTCAAACTCACCAAAATCAAGTCCACCAAAATCGAAAGAAAAGTGGATAAAAAATTAATTATTTGTGTTGAAATGTATCTTATTTGTTTATATATCTTATGTATACATTAATTTCATATAAAAATATATATATATATATATTTTTTTAAAAATTTTAAAAAATAATTTTTTAAAAAAATTAAAAATTAAAAATTAAAAGATTAAAAATTAAAAAATTAAAAAAAATATTGTTTTCATCTTAACTAAGGGTAAAAAGTTTCAACTCAACATGATGACACGTGTAAAACCCGGATAAATTTGAACTTTTTCCGATAAAGGGTAAAATGGTAATTTGTCACTATTACGCGGGTTTAAAATACATTTTTTTATAGAGCTTGGATGGGACAACGGACCTCATCATTGTATTCGCATCACGAAATCGAGCTGCCCTGTCAATTTTCGTCGAATTTCAAGATAGTCGGATTTTGCACGTATTTCGAGATGATTTAGGTGACGAATGAACTTTTAAATGTCCCCAAAAACAAAAATTTTAAAATTTCTTTATAATTGGATTAAAGTTCCAATAAAATTAATTTGGACTTAAACTGGATTAAAATTAATCATTTCGGGGCGAAAAACAGACCCAGAAGTAATAAACAAGCGAGACGATATGGACCGCGGAATTAAAAGTATAAAAGGGGCATAATATCTGAAAAAATCAGATATTTCTTCCCCAAGAGGCAGGCGTGAGAAGAGAGAAAAAGAGAAAGTGGGTTTTTCAAGTTTTCTTCTGACAATTTCTCAAGATTCGTTGGTCGGAATCCATCAGACCAAGAACTAAAGTCGATCTACGTGACGAGAGCTACGCGTGGGTACCAAAAACGAAGACTTTCACCAAAGATTCAAAGACAAAGTCTTGGAGGATCAAAGCTTTGGGGCTTATTTTGGTGGCATAGAAGTCTCTACACTTCTATTAAGGTAGGGGGTTCTCTTACTTGGGCCTATTTTTAGCCTAAAATGTCTATGTGGGATGGTTGAATATATGTGCTTATATATTCTCCTACTTGGGGTCTATTCTTAGCTTAGAATGTCTATGTGGGATGGTTGAATATATGTGCTTATATATATATATATATATATATTGACTCATTTTTGTATGTGGCTAAGGAAATGGGTGTGGAATTAGGCCTATATAAATTCCTAGTAAATTTGGCAAAGGAAGTTACTTGTGTGATTCCTTTGGATTTGATGTGTTTGGGTATGTTATGTGCTCAAATGTGATTTATAAAGATGCGAGCAATATTATGTGAAAACATGACATGTTTGCCTTGAAGGTGTTTGATGAAATGTCTTAGAGAATTAAATGTGATTATTGTGATGACAATAGCATGTTGAATTGTTGTGATATGTGGGATTATGCTTGTTGAGATATTGAGCATAGTGTTGATTGTGGAAGCTATGCGCCTTTGACATGAAATTCCATGGTATATGATTTATATTGCTCATGTGGCATCATTGTATATTGGGCATCACATTCATGGGCATAAGGCTTGGGTGTGGGTGTGTGATTACATGGGTGGATCAATCACCATACTTGGTGTTTTGATGGGTGGGCTCGAGAAAGTGGGGTTGAATATTCTACAGAGTCGCACGGTTGCATGAAAAACTTGGGCTCGGTATCGTTGGGCCAAGGTTCAACAGAGTCGTAAGAAAACTTGTGTTGGATACAACAAATAGGGCTAGACTCTCCCTCAGGTAAAAAACCCAACCACTTGGTTCACACACTTCCCAACGATGAAATTCCCGAAAAGTGTATTTGGTCTGCGGAACCGACAGTGCGATTCCAAAACTCCGCTACCCAATAAAGAAATAAGGTTTTGTTTTATAATATATTCATTTGATGGGAAACATCCAACAATGAATGAGTTTTATAAAAACATGCATTGTATTTTCAAAAAGTGATCTTTGGATGTATTTTATCGAAGACAAATGATTTTTACACATATGCATTGCATAGTGTGGTGAGAGTCGGTGAAGGTTCGGGTTGAAGTGCGTGAGTGAATCTCATTTCATTCATGGCATGACATGATAGATTCCAACGTGAATTGCATACCCTTGTATTGGAATGGATGTTAATTGTGATTATTGCATGAGACCATTGCATATGCATTTAGGTGGGGACTAGCCTCTGTAGAAAAATTTCTACTGAGCGTGGCTCACCCTATATGGGAACACATTTCAGGTGGGAGAGATACACTGGGGATGACTCCAATTTGGACCATCATGTTTGAAGAAAGCCGAATGTGGCTTTATTTTGTGTTAATGTAAAATATTTGTGGAAATAATGTTTTAAGCATGTAATCTTTTAATTGTAATAGAATTTATATGGACTATTGTTAAACTAACCTTACATGTTTTGATATAAATATGGATGATTGAACCCGGTGTGACCAATGTTTATTTATAAAAGGACCCGGTGTGGTTAATGTTTTATATTGGGCCTCGGATGGGTCATGTGAAAATACTTTGCACAAGTTGGATTTTGGGTAGAGCTCCCCGTACAAAGGAGATTCTGCTTGAATTTTGTTAAATTATGGATCCCGGTAAATGGGGCGCAACGGCGCGATATCGAGTTATTCGGTATCCACAGGTATTCCGTGGGTTGGTTGGCAATCAACGGACCCCCGGATTTTGAGGTGTCACAACNGGAAATACTTTGCACAAGTTGGATTTTGGGTAGAGCTCTCCGTACAAAGGAGATTCTGTTTGAATTTTGTTAAATTATGGATCCCGGTAAATGGGGCGCAACGGCGCGATATCGAGTTATTCGGTATCCACAGGTATTCCGTGGGTTGGTTGGCAATCAACGGACCCCCGGATTTTGAGGTGTCACAACACGACTCGAACTTGATACAAAAATAAACAGGTCAACTCGCAACTCGACACGACACAATTAATTAAATGAGTTAAGTTATATTTGAATAATATTCTACACAAACTCGTAAAGACTCAACACAAATCTGACATGATAAAGCTTGACTCGATTGTCACCTCTAATCTTAGCCAACACAAAAAAAAATAGTCATTTTTATTTTTTATCCATCCNCATTCACACCCTCCCTCATATTTGCTCGTGTGACCACTCATCATTTTGAGTTTTTTTTTATTTTGAAACCATTTTTTATTTTGAATTCTTATTATATATACAACCAANCTTTCACACCCTCCCTCATATTTGCTCGTGTGACCACTCATCATTTTGAGTTTTTTTTATTTTGAAACCATTTTTTATTTTGAATTCTTATTATATATACAACCAATCATCTTAAAAGATATAAGCGTACACATGAAAATGATATCCTGCGCAATTAGAATAGTCATCCATGATACAAGTTATTGTGCAAGGTGATCCTATCTTATACACAATTCACATTATCGTCGTGGGGCCTATTTGTTTCGTGGGTTTGTGGGAGGTTTTCGGGGAAAATAGTGTAAAAGACTCCCAAATTTCATGTTTGGGTTAAAATTTCAATCTCAAGTTATCAAACTCAACTTACAGCTAGTACAGATATTAAATTCATGATCATAAGTTTCGTCAAACT